GTTAAGGTTGGATTTTGGTTACTTGGGTAAAGTTAAGGTTGGGTTTTGGTTACTTGGGTGAAGTTAAGGTTAGGTTTTGGTTACTTGGGTGAAGTTAAGGTTGGGTTTTGGTTACTTGGGTGAAGTTAAGGTTGGGTTTTGGTTACTTGGGTAAAGTAAAGGTTGGGTTTTGGTTACTGTGGTTTAGGTTGGGTTTTGTTTACTGTGGTTATGTTAAGGTTGGATTTTGGTTACTGTGGTTAAAGATAAGATTAGGTTTTTGTTACTGTGGGTAAAGTTAATGTTGGGTTTTGATGTAAGTGAAGTTTACTTTAGCGAAAGTCAAAGTCTCACAGATGTGAGACCATTTTGTGTTTGACAGTGAGAGAGAGAGTATGTAGAGTGTTGGGTGTGTGTGTGTGAGTGTGTGTGTGAGGTGTGGGTGTTTGGTAACTGTGGTTAAAGTTAAGGTTGGGTTGTGTTTACTATGGTTAAAGTTAAGGTTGGGTTTTGGTTACTGTGGTTGAGGTTAAGGTTGGGTTTTGGTTACTTGGGTTATGTTAAGGTTGGGTTTTGGTTACTTGGGTAAAGTTAAGGCTGGGTTTTGGTTACTTGGGTAAAGTTAAGGCTGGGTTTTGGTTACTTGGGTAAAGTTAAGGTTGGGTTTTGGTTACTGTGGTTAAGGTTGGGTTTTGGTTACTTGGGTAAAGTTAAGGTTGGGTTTTGGTTACTTGGGTGAAGTTAAGGTTGGGTTTTGGTTGCTGTGGTTAAAGTTAAGGTTGGGTTTTGGTTACTTGGGTAAAGTGTTAAGGTTGGGTTTTGGTTACTTGGGTGAAGTTAAGGTTGGGTTTTGGTTACTGTGGTTAAAGTTGGGTTTTGGTTACTGTGGTTATGTTAAGGTTGGATTTTGGTTACTTGGGTAAAGTTAAGGTTGGGTTTTGGTTACTTGGGTGAAATTAAGGTTAGGTTTGTATGGGTAAAGTTAGTTGGGTTTTTTACTTGGGTGAAGTTAAGGTTGGGTTTTGGTTACTTGGGTAAAGTTAAGGTTGGATTTTGGTTACTTGGGTGAAGTTAAGTTTGGGTTTTGGTTACTGTGGTTGAGGTTGGGTTTTGGTAACTGTGGTTAAAGTTAAGGTTGGGTTGTGGTTACTGTGGTTAAAGTTAAGGTTGGGTTTTAGTTACTGTGGTTGAGGTTAAGGTTGGGTTTTGGTTACTTGGGTTATGTTAAGGTTGGGTTTTGGTTACTTGGGTAAAGTTAAGGTTGGGTTTTGGTTACTTGGGTAAAGTTAAGGTTGGGTTTTGGTTACTGTGGTTAAGGTTGGGTTTTGGTTACTGTGGTTAAAGTTAAGGTTGGGTTTTGGTTACTTGGGTGAAGTTAAGTTTGGGTTTTGGTTACTGTGGTTAAGGTTGGGTTTTGGGTACTTGGGTAAAGTTAAGGTTGGGTTTCGGTTACTGTGGTTATGTTAAGGTTGGGTTTTGGTTACTTGGGTGAAGTTAAGGTTGGGTTTTGGTTACTGTGGTTAAGGTTGGGTTTTGGTACTTGGGTAAAGTTAAGGTTGGGTTTCGGTTACTGTGGTTATGTTAAGGTTGGATTTTGGTTACTTGGGTAAAGTTAAGGTTGGGTTTTGGTTACATGGGTTAAAGTTAAGGTTGGGTTTTGGTTACATGAGTTAAAGTTAAGGTTGGGTTTTGGTTACATGGGTTAAAGTTAAGGTTGGGTTTTGTTACTGTGGTAAAGTTAAGATTAGGTTTTGGTTACTTGGGTAAAGTTAATGTTGGGTTTTGATGTAAGTGAAGTTTTATTTAGCTAAAGTAACAGAAATCAAAGTCCTCACAAGTATAGTGAGACCAACATATGTGTTTGACAGAGAGAGAGAGAGAGTATGTGTGAGTGTGTGTGTGTGTGTGTGAGTGTGTGTGTGTGTGTGTGTGTGTGTGTCATTGTCACTTTCTCTACACTCCATCCATCAAATGATTTGGTCTTCTTCCACTTGCCTCAGTTTCTTTCTCATTTTTTCTTACTTTCTTTCCTTGATGTTTTTGTCTTCACTTCATTCTACATACCATTCTCTCTCTCTCACTCTCTCTCTTTCTCTTTCACTCTGTCAGCTTTTTCTCTCTCCACTCTAAATGCCTGTCTGATTTTTTGAAAGACCTTTTGTCTGTGCAGTCTTTCCATCCTTAATTAAGTTTGTCCAAAACTGTTTCCCATACTGCCACCGGCCCCGCCCCCCGCAGCGCCGTGGAAACGAGGCTCCGGAAGAATGTAAACATGCAGGCAGATGCTCTGTTCATTGATTATTTCTGCAGGTCCACTGAGCCACTGACAGAGCGTACTAACAAAAGCTACAGTACGTTAGAGTAGCAGCTAACAGCACAGCGACCACTTTCACTTTTAACAGCTTAAAACGGACATTAATCTAGATATGAAGTGTTTATCATACATGTGAAGAGTAGATCAGACACATTAAGAGTGTATCATACATATGAGGAGTAGATCTGACACATTAAGAGTGTGTCATACATGTGAAGAGTAGATCAGACACATTAAGAGTGTGTCATACATGTGAAGAGTAGATCAGACACATTAAGAGTGTATCATACATATGAAGAGTAGATCAGACACATTAAGAGTGTATCATACATATGAGGAGTAGATCTGACACATTAACAGTGCATCATGCATGTAAAGAGTAGATCAGACACATTAAGAATGTATCATACATATGAAGAGTAGATCAGACACATTAAGAGTGTATCATACATATGAGGAGTAGATCAGACACATTAAGAGTGTATCATACATTAGAAGAGTAGATCTGACACATTAAGAGTGTATCATATGTATGAAGAGTAGATCAGACACATTAAGAGTGTATCGTACATATGAGGAGTAGATCAGACACATTAAGAGTGTATCATGCGTATGAAGAGTAGATCAGACACATTAAGAGTGTATCATACATATGAGGAGTAGATCAGACACATTAAGAGTGTATCATACATATGAAGAGTAGATCAGACACATTAAGAGTGTATCATACGTATGAAGAGTAGATCAGACACATTAAGAGTGTATCATACATGTGAAGAGTAGATCAGACACATTAAGAGTGTATCATACATGTGAAGAGTAGATCAGACACATTAAGAGTGTATCATACATATGAGGAGTAGATCTGACACATTAAGAGTGTGTCATACATGTGAAGAGTAGATCAGACACATTAAGAGTGTATCATGCATATGAAGATCAGACACACTAAGTGTGTCATGCCTATGAATAGTGGCTCATACCTGAGGCTTGAATCATACATAGATGTGTGTAGTGTAGGTGAGGCTCTCTTAAGCCTTTTCAGACGGCGCTCCGTTTTAGGGTTAAATATCACCTAATTGGAAGTTTTATAGGGACTGTATAGTTCAGCACATGGTTAATTTTAGCAAATGAACTAGTTCATGTTTTAAACTGTGTGTGATGAGTGATTTCTTCATTTCTGATGTTACGTCTCCTTGGGGCGAGATACAACAAAGAGGAAGCAAGACTTTCCACTCAGAAGCCAGACCAGAACAAAGAGGAATTTCTGATTAATAACTAATAATAACAAAGATGTCAATCACAGATTTAACAGTTTATTTGATGCTCTGCACTTTCCTCCAGCTATTAATATTATTTTTTAACATGCAACTGAAGTAAAGAAAACAAAATTGAAACACAACTTCAGGCCCAAAATAACAAACAGATCTTTAAAGAAACATTAACAAGCTAAGCTACCAAAAAAAAAAAGAAAAGAAAATTACGGAAACACAACCTTCACTACGCTACCGATAAACAAAGCCCAACAGGTCAAAAAAAAGGCCACCCCTACATCAAAAAAAAAATACAAAGTTCCTCTCACTGACCCACGTGTACCTGTAGGCCAGCAAATCACAACTAACAAAAACTGGTGTGTCGACTGGCGAACAGCCAGGGGAGTGGAATTGTGATTAGCACCAAAGGCCTTTTATAGCCGGCGCCAACAGGAACAGCCAATCACATGCTGGGAAAAGGCCGTCAGTCATGCATCAACGCTAACCTGAAAACACAGACAGACAATCAGACACGGGACGTGACACTAGGTTTTCAGAAAGAAGACGCCGAAGCTTTGTTTGTGGACGCTCCTGTGGTTAAAGAATTCGGGAGTTGAAGTTTGTGTTGTTATAAAGCAAAATTTAACGCTAAGAGACGAATTCATTTTCACTTTCTTTCCTATTTAGGTAACATGGCTTTTTTCACTTATGGGGAACCATGTTGGGAACCATGTTGGGAACCACGTTGGGATCCCCAGGGTTCCACCTTCACCAGTCTCCTCCGGTGTCTCCTCCCATGCCCTGCTTACTCATTAGCATCCCCCGTGTGTAGTTTGCTTTTATCCTGCTTTCTCAGTGTTTATTCTCCTTTGTTTCAGTGTGTGTTTGTCTAGTCTTGTCATTCTCCTCATGTTAGTCGTGCTGTGCAGTGTTTCCACATTTCCTTCCTTGTGCCTGTAGTTTTTGTTTTGTCTTGTGTTTAAATGAAACTGCCCGTTTGTGACTGTTGCACAGCTAAAATCAGTACATCCTGAGCCCTGAATTTTGTCCGTACATTTGCAGTCGTTCCAGCGTTCTTTCGCTCTGTGCCATGGAGAAGCACACACACCCCCACCCACCCACGGTGAGGGCTGTGGGAGTTTACCGCCGCTGCTTTCATTACGAGCCAAACGAGCCTCATTTAGCTAAAGTACACAATAACTACCCCACCGCTTCAAAGAAGAAAAAACAACAAAGCCTGCATCTCCCTCGCTCCATCTTTCACAGAAAAACACACACAGTGCAGGAAAAAGCGTGTGTTAACTCAGAGCACCTGAGAGGTGTGTGAGCGTGAGCAGGCTGGGCGGAGGCGTCCGAACCGTCTGAACCAACTACAGACGCAGGATGTTCCAGAACAGATGTGGGTTTATGGTGTCATAAACAGCCAGGGTTGATCATTAGTTATGATACGAATGTCATATGACCTTTGAGGAGATGGTAAAGTCACAGAGAGGACCTCACACATCTTCCACAACAAAGCACATCAGACTCCCCGCCAGCTCGCTCACGTGAAACGCTTTAACAACGCCGCGATGGGCTCGTCCTGCAGTACAGTCTGTTCAGCTTGAGCAGCACAGGATTACTTTACTAAACAGTCTTTACTTTGCCACTCTGGTTTAGATGCATGTGGCTCCAAAGTTCAGATGTTCAGCTTACAGCTGGAACAGTGAAGATATTTTCATATCAGGATTGACAAGTGACATTCTTACCCACACAAATCATGTTCATACCCACACAAATCATGTTCATACCCCAGCAAATCATGTTCATACCCCAGCAAATCATGTTCATACCCCAGCAAATCATGTTCATATCCACACAAATCATGTTCATACCCACACAAATCATGTTCATACCCCAGCAAATCATGTTCATACCCACACAAATCATGTTCATACCCACACAAATCATGTTCATACCCACACAAATCATGTTCATACCCCAGCAAATCATGTTCATACCCCAGCAAATCATGTTCATATCCACACAAATCATGTTCATACCCACACAAATCATGTTCATACCCCAGCAAATCATGTTCATACCCACACAAATCATGTTCATACCCACACAAATCATGTTCATACCCACACAAATCATGTTCATACCCCAGCAAATCATGTTCATACCCACACAAATCATGTTCATACCCCAGCAAATCATGTTCATACCCACACAAATCATGTTCATACCCACACAAATCATTTTCATACCCCAGCAAATCATGTTCATACCCACACAAATCATGTTCATACCCACACAAATCATGTTCATACCCCAGCAAATCATTTTCATACCCCAGCAAATCATGTTCATACCCACACAAATCATGTTCATACCCACACAAATCATGTTCATACCCACACAAATCATTTTCATACCCACACAAATCATTTTCATACTCACACAAATCATGTTCATACCCACACAAATCATGTTCATACCCACACAAATCATGTTCATACCCCAGCAAATCATGTTCATACCCACACAAATCATGTTCATACCCCAGCAAATCATGTTCATACCCACACAAATCATGTTCATACCCACACAAATCATGTTCATACCCCGGCAAATCATGTTCATACCCACACAAATCATGTTCATACCCACACAAATCATGTTCAAATCATGTTACCCCAGCCAATCGTGTTCTTACCCCAGCAAATCAAATTCATATCCTAGCTAATCACATCTTACCACAGCTAATCACGTTCGTACCCCAGCCAGTCACAACCTTAACCTAGCAAATCATATACTTTCCCACTGCTGATCACCTTCTTACCCCAGCCAATCACATCCTTACAGCACCTAATCACATCCTTACTGCAGCCCATTACCTTCTTACCCCAGCCAATCACATCCTTACAGCACCTAATCACATCCTTACTGCAGCCCATTACCTTCTTACCCCAGCCAATCACATCCTACAGCACCTAATCACATTCTTACTGCAGCCCATTACCTTCTTACCCCAGCCAATCACATCCTACAGCACCTAATCACATTCTCACTGCAGCCCATTACCTTCTTACCCCAGCCAATCACATCCTTACAGCACCTAATCACATTCTCACTGAAGCCAATCACATTCTTACCCCAGCCAATCACAACTTTACTCCAGCCAATAACATGTTTACTCTAACTGATCACGTTGCTACCGCAACCAATCACATTTTTACCCCAGCTGATCACATTTTTACTTTAGCCCACCACATTCTTACCACAGCCAATCATATTCAGCACCTGCTGAAAGGATCGACCTGCTTTTTATTATTTATTTATTTACTTTTTTACTGTGGCTTTTGCTGTTTCTGTTCCACGTTCAGAGAGACTCAGTGACTGTTGAGGTTTTTAGTGAGTACTGAGTGACTGACCTGTGAAGAAAACAGGCAGTAATCTGTGTGAGTGTGAGTGTGTGTGTGTGTGTGTGTGTGTGTGTGTGTGAGTGTGTGTGTGTGTGTGTGTTGGGTTAATCCCATCCTGAAGACTTTGTTTAATTGAGTTGTGTTGAAATAAAGGATGAGGCTTTCACTTTAAACCATGTAACTAAAACCACACGAGGCAGCGAAGGAAAGAACGACCGAACGAAGGAGGGGGGTGTTATAATATAAATACAGCGCTGACCTTTGACCTCAGAACGTGGCCCTATTCCAAACCCTGAAAGTTGAAGCAAGAACCTGCAAACACAGGAAATTCCTTCAACCCCCTCGGCTCTCAGCCTGGCACACACTCACTGCTCCGGTACACCCGCTATGCTTCAGGCAGCATGCAGGCTGCTCACATCTGAGAGGCTTCGCTGCTCAGACGGCCAAACAGAGACTCTTCCACCATTACAGTTCAGCCAAACCCCCCCAGTTTTCCATTCGTACCCCACAAAGAGTCAATCGGCCACGACGTGTTTGGTGTCTGAAGTTTCCTTCTTTAGTTTTAGCGCTGGAGCTACGGGGCTAATGTAGCTAAAAGTGGTGTTAGCTTACATCCCACCAATGTGGTGCTAACTACACATTTAAACCACCATATAAACGTGTTAGTGGTGTTGGAGAATAGGAGGGCAGCTTTAGCTTCTTCCCTCAAACCGTCTGAAGTTGTTGAGTATCTAATATACTTGATTGTGTGGTTTCTGACACCGTATGACTCACTGTGGTCTATAAACATGGACTAAAGTACATTAGCATAGCTAAACACAGTAGCAGCCATCATAAAGTCTGCACCACAGCACTATGCTAATTGGTGGGGTATTAGCTTCCAATACAACTTGCCTCAAGGTTGCATCAGAAGTATAAAAGAACAAAAGGTTTGAGTCAATTTTGGACTAACTAACATCAACTAATGTATTCGTTAACAATAAAAACTCAGGAGACACTACGTTATTTATGATTGTCTAATATGAAGTCAACAAATAACAATAGCATTAGCTGAGCACAAATTCTGAGCACAAATGTCTGTCATACTTTGTTGTGTCTGAACGTTTTATTTGTTCTACATTTTTCTTCTTTTGTTTTTACAGCTTGAAACAAACAACCTGCAGCAAACCAAGAAGAAGCTTAAATATCAATATAGATTTGATTTTAATTGACCAGTTTGTCATTACAGAGCCTCACTTTGGCTCTGTGTTAATTTAGTGGAAGATAATATAAAATGTAGCAACAAATAAACGAAAATAAATTATGACAGTAACCCAATAAAGGTCTTATGAAATGGAAGAACAGCCAAGTCACTGAGTGCTGAAGTGTGTAGCGTGTAAAAATTGACTATCCTGTTTTGCATCCATCACTAGCACCAAACTGCCTCTGGAAGCAACATCAGCACAAGAGCTGAGCATCAGGAGCCTCACAAAATAGGTCTCCATGGCTGAGCAGCTGCCCACAAACCTAAGATCACTATGCGCAATGCCAAGTGTCGGCTGGAGGGGTGTAAAACGCCGCCACTGGACTCTGGAGCAGTGGAACCGTGTTCTCTGAGTGATGAATCAGCTTCTCTATCTGTCAGTCTGATGATGAATCTGGGTTTGGTGGATGTCAGGAGAACGTTACCTACCGGAATGCAGAGCCAACAGTACAGTTTGGTGGAGGAGGGATGATGGGCGGGGCTGTTTTTCAGGGTTTGGGCTCTCAGTTCCAGTGAAGGGTGATGTTGATGCTGCAGCACAAAGACATTTTACACAGTTATCTGCTTCCAGCTTTGTGTCAGCAGTTTGGGGAAGAGCCTTTCCTGTTCCAGCATGACTGAGACCCTGAGCACAAAGCAGCTCCATAAAGACATGGAGTGACCAGTTTGGACCAGTGACCCTCACAGAGCCCTGACCTCAACCCCACTGAACACCTTTGGGATGAACTAGAATGGAGACTATGAGCCAGACCCTCTTGTCCAACATCAGCGTCTGACCTCACAAATGCTCTTTAGACTGATTGGACACAGATTTCCACAGACTCTCCAACATATTGTAGAAGCTTCCCAGAAGAGTGGAGGCTGTTGTAGCTGCAAAAGGGAACCAACTCCATATTAATGCCTATGGTTTTGGAATGGGACGTCCAACAAGCTCATATAGGTGTGATGGTCAGGTGTCCACATACTTTGGCCATACAGTGTATGTGCTGAATAAAGTGGGATCTACACACACACACACACACACTCACACACACACACTCACATGCTGGTGGTGATAAACTGATCTTCATTGTAAGCAGCAGGCAGACAGAGGCGCCTCCTCACCCTGAGGGAGTGAGAGTGGTTTACTCTTCAGGGTGTTGTGGATATGATCCTCCTGTGTGTGTTAGTGATCTCCATCTGTATCAGCTCCTCTCTTCACTCTCAGTCACATTCATCACTGTAAACACAGCACCGTGAAGGAGGTGCAGGTTCTACACTCTCACTCAGACCACATCAGCATGTGAAAGAGGAAAAGGAGCTATTTTAGCAGCACTTTACACTCTGAAAAAGATGGTTCTTCAAGGGTTCTTTAGTAAAGGCAGTGGTTGTATATAGAACCATGAACACTCAAAGAACTGCTTAAAATGTTCTCTGCATGGTGAAATGGTTCTTCAGATTGATGGAGAATGTGTTATATATGGTTCTATACAGCACCAAAAAGGGGGTTTTCTATTGTTACAATGTCAAGCTTTTATACAATAGCAGAACCTTTTTGGTGCTACATAGAACCATAAACAACACATTCTCCATAAATCTCAAGAACCATTTCATGATGCAAAGAACAATTTAAGCATGGAATGGTTCTAAATAGAACCATTGTATGTACTAAAAAACCCTTGAAGTACCATCTTTTTAGTAATAAAGAGGTAATAATATGGTAATATTATAGTAACAAGTTGTGCTAAACTAAATATATTCTAGTTGATATTAAATCATATGTTAGTAATTGTAGCAGTTATAAGTCCGTAATAAAATGGAAAATTAATGTAAATAAACTTATTTCCTTATAAATTAAATGTTGATTTTCCAGTTGATACAAAATGTGAGTAATAATAAGCAATGTTATTCATTTTTCGCCCTCACTTTTCATGTATTTTATATTTTATATTATATTATGACATCCAGCTTTCAAAGCCTAATATCTGCTTAATCATCATATCACTACAGTTCTTTAAAATCATTACAGGATTTTATGATATTCTGGTTATCACCCCAAAACAGTGCCGTAGTTCTGCTGAAACGATCTGGTATTAGAACTATAAATACTAATTCACTTGTTCTACTTTGTTCCTTACTGGTTAAAGATCTCAGCTGCCAAGACGCTGTTGTTGATGTTGGCTGCACAGAAGAATCTTCAGTGCTGAGAGATGAAGTCAGACAGGCCACTGCTGTAAAAGAAAGCCAGAGGAATCAATAACATCTCCACAGAAATATTTCAGGATTCTGAAGCAGATTCGGGTAAAGTGCTGACCAGATTACGCCAACAAATCTGAAAACAGCTGACTGGCAGATTGGAAGAGGTCAGTTTATATCCCAACACCACACAGCGTGCCAACTCTCACACAGCTTCCCTCACATCACACGGCAGTAAAGTGGGCTTCAGATCCTTTAACACAGTCTAGAGCCTCACGCTGAGAGGAACAGGAGATATTGCTGATCCCGCGTCCCGGTGAGGTGATTCTGTTAAGGCTGGGGGATTTAAACGGCTCAGGCTGTTTAGAGCTGCTTTAAACCAGCTTATTTAGGGGTCAGTGCCTGAATGTGTTTCATCAGGGTTTGATTTTTTAGGCCTGTGCTGGATCCTAGACTGCTAGGCTGTTTATGGTGAGTGCCTGAGTGACCTCTGAGTGACTTGGGTGAGCTGCTGGATCAGACTGAGTGCTGGTACTCCAGCCACAAGGGTGAATATTAAACAGTGTTAAATTTAACTCCTTAGCCCTCCTATGAACTTTGGGGTCAGTTTGACCCCATTCCATGTAAACATTTCTAAATAAATGATTGACATCATTTTTTTGGTTCATATTTAACGGCTTTTACTAATTTGATGGTGACAAGTGGGTAAACATAAAATAACATGATATGTTCTCAATGTCAAATTGACTGTTTTAGCACAAATATCAACATTTTACACACATTTTAGTTGTTCTGGATTATATTGAGGTCACTAGAACATGCAATTTTATAATCTTCAAAAAAATCCCTCTGCTTCAGGGTCCTAACCTAGCACAGCCACACCTTTATATAAGTTAGATTTTTGTCTTTTTTGGCTAGGCCGAGTGGTCAGTGGTCCTGCAGTTGGCAATTTGCCGTTTCACTGCGATGTGTGCTATGCTTTGTATATTAATTCAAAGTCAAAGTGAGCTTTATTGTCATTTCTCCTGATCACAGATGTGCTGAGAGAAGAATGAGATGTAGTGTCTCCAGAACACAGAGCTACAGTTAACAGTTCAACAGGTTCTTTTTCTCTCCTCCTTTTTTGGTGCCCTTTAAGTGTGATTTGATGAGGCATGAGTGTGTGTTTGAAAAGACACTTAACACAAGTAGAGCTTTTAATTCTCCCCCGTGCTCCCCAGAGCCCTGCCGCTAAAGGATACTGGTCAGTGTGGGTCATTCTCCTGTTAAAAATTATATTGAATGTATTTTTATATTAATTACATCTCAA